GCAGATTACAAGAAAGCAGGACTATACCTAGACTGTCTCACTAACTCTTTATGCCCTTCATTTTTATGATTTGCAAAACCAAAGAAAATAAATCATTGTCAGAGAAATAATAGAGCAAGGACAATAGAATTTAGAAATACAATTTCTAGTTCTTTCTTTTTCCAACTTCTTTATGTAATATTGCTGTCTCTCCAGTTTTTTATGAGTCTTCCAAAAATAAAACCTCACCTAAAAAGTTAGTACAAAATATTCTGCATGAGGAGTGACACAAATGAGTATAATTGAAGTCCTTGGGTAACTAACTGTGTGTATATTCTGGTATCGATATTATTTGCCAGATTTCCAGGCATTGAAATTTGACTACTAGTATATTACTAAAGTACATATTTGTGTTAATCTATCCCTTACTACACTAATCACAATTCTGTTTTTTGAAGACTTTTTTCATTTTTATTTGTGTGTGTGTGTGTGTGTGTGCATGTGTATGAGAGAGAGGCATCAGATAATATCAGACCTGGAATTATGAGAATTCTGAGCCACCAACATAGACATTGGGAACGAAACTCAGGTCCTTTGGAAGAGCAACAAGTGCTCTTAACCACAGAGCTGTCTCTCCAGATCTCTCCCCACCCCATGCTGGTTTGGGGTACTTCTATTTCACCAGTATGACCTTACGGTTCACATGAAAGCAAGTAGTTCAGTAAAGGCCTGTTCATTGGAAACATTGCTCTGTACAAACTGGTCCTTTAAGACCCCTCTAGAACTGGGGCCAGTGAGAGACAATAACAGCTTTTTGGTTTCTGTTGTTTGTTTTGTGTGTGTGTGTGTGTCTGTCTGTGTTGCATTGAAAAATTACAATTGAAAAATTGTAATTTTTCCTATTACACTTGAGTTTGGGAGGTTGGCAATCTGATCTGGACTTTGTGTAGGACTGAGAGCCTCTATAAAGTACCTCTCACTATAAGAGCCGAAAGGTGCAGTGTAACTCTGTGCTGATGACATCATTTGAGGTCCTCCTGACTCCCCCTATACTTAATGTTAGCCTTGGACAATAAACAGCAAACCAACAAATCCTTACTTTTTTTTTTTCAAAAATTTTCTTTTTGCTGTAACCTATTTGAGTCATTTTCTCTTACAACCAGAAGATATATGCTCCAGTGAGTAAAATACTATTTCTGGCTAACTTTCCCCCTTCTTTATTTCCAACAAGTACTATCTCTGCTGAAAATAAGACAAGAAAAAATGTGCAAATATGTAGCATTAGTAAATTAACTTGTATTGTTCACTTTTCACGGAAGTTACAAAATGCCCGATTTAAGAAGGTGCCGAATCCATCATGGTGGGAAGGACACAGAGACAGGAGGTGGCAGGAGCATGTGGCAACTGGGGACATTGTGTCTGTAGTTAAAAGGCAGAAAAATCTGGTAGTCTATTGGCTTTCTCCTTTTTTTTTTTTTCTTTTTTTCCTGTGCTATTCAATCTAGGACTCCAAACCCTGTCACAAGGCCTCCCCTATTCAGTGTCACTTTTGGTTGGTTTAAACCTCCCTGAAAACACACTCCATAAACATGGCCAGAGGTGTGTCTCCTAGGTGATTCCAAAACCAGGCAGGTAGACAAGAAAGACAAACTTGCACCACTGCCCAGTGTGTGGTTTCCTGTTCACTTTAGGCTGAAGCTGTGTGAGTGTTTCTTTTCATGACTGTGGAAAGGTTACAGGTTTTGTTGTCAGACTTGGAGCATGAGCTGTGTTTACACGACTTCGGGAGACTTCCTGATTTCAGTGTTCCTCTCTCTTTTCAAATATGAGTTTGGTAAGCATGACTTCATAGAATTATGGGGTCATGCGTGCAGGCATCTTAGCCCAGTGACTGGCACATAGTAAGTCCTCCATCTTATTATGTTATTAGTTGACAGAGTGCCAGCTAGGGTCTCAGTCTCCAGTCAGAACTACTTTTTTTTTTTTCTGGTAGCTCTTCTTTTCTATATATATTTTTCCTTTTGGGTTTGTGTAGCTTGATGTTCTCAACCCATGGGTCGCAAGCCCTCTGAAGGTTGTATATCAGATATCCTACATATCAGATTCTATATTATGATGCATAACAGTAGCAAAATTACAGTAGCTATGAAATAATTTTATGGTCAGGGCTCATGTCAGAATGAAGAACAACATTAAGGCATCACAGCATTAGGACAGATGAGAACCACAGGTACGGAGTGTGTATTTCAGTGTGTGTGCATGTTTGTGAAAAACGTACCTGGAGGCACGTGTGTCAAGGCCAGCGATTGGCTAGGTATCTCCCTTGACTGATCTCCTTTGGGTTTATTGACCAGCGTCTCTCAGTTGAACCTGGAGGAAACTGCTTTGGCTAGTCTACCTAGCTCAGGTTGGAGATTCACTGTCTCTGCTTTGGTAGCCCTGGGACTGCAGGTGGGCTATAACATCTGCCTGCATTTTTATGTAGGTGCTGTGGATACAAACTGAGGCTCTCATTTTGGTGCAGCAAGTGCTTTCTCCACAGAACCATCTCTCCATATCCCCTCTGGTTCCTCTTCAGTGACCTAGTCAGAGGGGGAAAAAAAAATCCTTGTGCATTTATTAAACATTTCTTACTGGAGAACATTTACTTACACAGCACAAGGGTTGCCTCTTCATTATATCTGCAAACAATCTGTTGGAGCCCAGATATTCTGGAACGGAGAGTAATGTTAAATCTGACTGTGTATAATGTGTCCATTAATGTGATTTCATTAATAGAATCAGCAACCAACTACTGAGATTGGAATCTTTTTAACCCTTGGCTATTGGCTTCTTTATACTTTTGCATTATTTATTTTGATGAAATGACGTTCTGGCTTAGAAAATAAAAGGAACGCACAGAAGCGTTGCCGTTCAGCTAGGTAACTCCGCCACTTGTCGCGAAGCTTTAGGTCTCCTGCAGTTTACAGACCCTCCGGGCTCCACCCCTGAACTCTGTGGGCTGCCTGCTGCCTCCGCGGTGTTTTTCTGAGAAGGTGTTTTTCTTCACAGCTCCCAGCCCTCTAGTGGCAGTTACAAAAATGTCACTTTGTAGTCCCCAGACAGGAAATGCCCGTTCTTACTTCAGTTACCAGAATCCTCTTGCAGGAAGTTAGGTGTGGTCTTTAAAGGAGAATTTGAAAAAAAAAATTTTTTTTTTCTTTTTCTTTCTTAATTTTTTTTTAAAAAGCATGATGGAATTTTAGCTGCAGGCGCCTTGGTTCCAGCTTCCTAAACTCTGAGTATAAAAGCTTCTGCAGGGGTAATGTGTTCCTGTTCTTACTATGCTTGTTCTCTGTGAGGTTTCTCTACCTTTGCAGTAGAATCCTTGGGGAAATCTATAGGGGAACCCTTTGCATTTTGAAACTGCTGGCTGCATGTTTTAGCATGTCTGTCCCCCTAGGCAGGGGTACAGCAGTGCCCCCCTTGAATGTGGAAGGACCATCTTGATGCCTGTGCCTACCGCTAGGCAGGAGAACCTCTGGGGATGAGTGAAGGAAGATGAGGGATGGTTTGGAGACCCTGTGATGCTGACAGGGCAGACTGACACCCGGCACCGGAAAGGTTCTGGTTAACTTCATAAAATTATATTTATGTGCATTTCTTAATGGAAAACTATTCAGCAGCTTGTGTTGTTCGGATTTTTCTTGTGTTTTACTAGGTGGAGACTGCAGAAATGAATTGGCAACTTGTGTTACTCCTAGAAGAGGCATTTCACATATGACAGTGGCAACTCATTTCTGTAGTGTGGAGGTTAAAATGGATTTTTTTTTTTTAGAAAAAATAAATAAAGTGACTTTTGAAGAAATGGCATTCTAGGGTCAAAAATGTTGCTCTATTCTTTAAATAGCACATTAATTCCTGTAACTGTCTGAGATCACATTTGCAACCACATCTGTCAAGTTGTCTACTTTAATAAACAAGACGTGATTTGAGCATCAGTTAAAGCCCATTTACATCATCAGGAAACCCATGCCATAGGGGCTATGCTTAAAAGAGAAACTGTGTTAGGCTATTTTATTTTTCCAAGTCCAAATTCTGAAATGGGTATTTGAACTACTCTGCTAGATTTTTGTGAAATGGGACTTCCTCGGAAACCTGGTATCCCTCTGTGGTGTTTCTTTGCGGACTGCGAACTCGTTCGTTTAAGAAGCAATTACAATAGTTGGCAACAGTTTGTTAAGCTAGGAGGCCCAAGCTCCAGACCTCTGATGGGAGTGACATCCTGCTTGTGTTGGCAGGTGCCTGGTCCCTTCCTGTGCAGTTTGCCAGCAGGTCCAAGCACAGCCGGGCATCTCCTGCTCCTCCTCACTCCACTCCCCTCCCCTCCCCTCCCCTCTTTCTCTACCTGTTTCCACAGGCAGGTCTTGCAGGATTTCTCAGGTGACACAGTTTTGAATGAACACTTAAAGGTGATAAATTGGGTCAAAGGAAAACTAAAAAAGAAAGAAAGAAAGAAAGAAAGAAAGAAAGGAAGGAAGGAAGGAAGGAAGGAAGGAAGGAAGAAAATAGAGAAAGAGAGTGGGGGGAAGATTACCACACAGCCCTGCTTCTATGATTTTGTGTGATTTTTTTTTTTGCTCTTGTTTTGAAACTGACATATTTCCAGAAAGAACGCAAGAGAGGGAGATGGCTCCCCAAAAAATATTCACACAAGTGAAACAGCAAGCATGCACCAGTATCTTCCATTTGCAAGCTCTGAGCAGGGTGTTTTTCCCCAAGTAGCACAATCAGTTCAAACATTTCAGGAGTGGGAGAACGGATTACCTCATACACACCTACTGGATGCGAGCGAAAGATCCCCATGCAGGCAGAGGAATGCATGCACAGGAGAGAGCTCAGGATGCTAGATGCAGTTGCCTTTACGAAGTTCTCTAGCCGTTTGCTTTACGTACGTTATGCTCAGTGTCCTGTGATTGCCGCCCTCACCTTCTTTCTTAATGGTCATTGCTTTTTCCCCTCCTGTCTCTGTAGCACTTTCTTATGCGAGGAGCTAAACAGTGATTAAAGAAGCAGGATGAAAAGATGGCACAATCAGTGCTGGTACCGCCAGGACCTGACAGCTTCCGCTTCTTTACCAGGGAATCCCTTGCTGCTATTGAACAACGCTTTGCAGAAGAGAAAGCCAAGAGACCCAAACAGGAACGCAAGGACGAAGATGACGAAAATGGCCCAAAGCCAAACAGTGACTTGGAAGCAGGAAAATCCCTTCCTTTTATTTATGGAGACATTCCTCCAGAGATGGTGTCAGAGCCCCTGGAGGACCTGGACCCCTACTATATCAATAAGAAAGTGAGTGTTTAGTCCAGTTGCTTTTATTTTCATGCTTCCTTAAGATGGTGATGAAGGAACCTCCTTCCGTCTCTTAAAGTATCTCTAGGATGCTGGGTGGGCCTGATCCAGCAATGGAAGAATTAGTTATCATAAGTGTTTGTGAAAGCACTTGTTTGAGCCTGCCTTCTTGGGACAGGTGGATACTGACGAGGGATCCTGCAAGAGGGCATGTGAGGAAGACAAAGGAGTTTATTTTTATTAATAAATAAATATTATTTATTTTTATAATACTAATTACACCGTAAATTGAATGCAGATTCACCCTGGTTCTACTGCAGTATGATGAGGCGAAAAGTGGAAATTGGGAGCATATGATTTTTATACTTCTAAGGGCAGGATCTAAGATACCCCTCTATCCAGAACTTGACAAAAGTCTTACGTCCTTGGCAGGCTTAATTATGCCCCCACACCACAGATTGTCACCGTCCTGTGGCTCCCCTCAGAAGAAATAACACTAGAGCACATGGAAATGCCCCCGCAAAAAGCCTAACAAAGACCACGTTTGGAAAACCCCAAGGTCTTCATGAGAAAATTCCCTAAATGAGGACGTTACTGAATCAGCCTCATTGTTATGCTTTGTGAGAACCTATAGACATAGCCGAAAATATGAGTGAAATGCTTGTCATAGGTGCCAAGAACTCCTGTGGCGCTAATCACAAAATTATCTTTGTATTCCTTACCTCCCAACGTCCCTTACCAAGTTTGGAATATTTTGCCATGCCGAAAAACGTAATGCCATGTGTTGGTAACTGTTACAACATGTGGGGTTTTAGAGGGGTCTCTTCCTCTCTTACAGTGGCCTTGATGTGTTCGGTAAATCCTGTTCCGCCTGTTGTGTTTTCTTTTTCAGACCTTTATAGTGTTGAATAAAGGGAAAGCAATCTCCCGGTTCAGTGCCACCTCCGCCCTGTACATCCTAACTCCCTTCAACCCCATTAGAAAATTAGCTATTAAGATTTTGGTACATTCATATCCTTTTAGTAATATGGTCATATAAATGGTACATTTTTTTCTTTGACTTAATTATAAAATTGAGCCTTTTCAACGTATGTGTGACTGTCAGTGTTTTTCTCTCTTTGCTCTTCTTCAGCAGCAAGCCTGTGGCAAGGGGGGGACAGCGGGAAAGCAAAGCTCTTATCTACCTTCTGAGTAGCTCTCTCCTCTCTGATTCGATGCTTCTTGCTTTTCTCTTCTGTTTCCTTTCCAATCACTTGCTACCTCCACAACTTCATTCATTTTTAACAAGACTGCCAGGATAGCCTTTCATGCCTCCAAAGTGTTATATTTGAGCAGTTTCTATGCAATACTTTTCCTCGGTAATTCATTGTTTAAAACACACAGGGACACAGAATCTGTGCTGTGTTTTCTGTGTCTTTTTGGTCACAGTTGTACAAATTTCTCTTGTTATGTTAGCGCTTGTAAACTTTGAATTCTTGAGTATTTACAAGTGAGTTTACACACACGCATGCACACACACACACACGCGCGCGCGCACACACACACACACACACATGACTTAATGTTTCTCCAGGTTCGCTCCCCAATGGCATTTGTACTGACTTTCTCCCCAATTCTGGATGGAAGAGAAAATCAATTTTGTCTTCCCCTGATGGAAGAAGTGTTAACCCTTGTATAAAAGAAGGAGGCAGCATTCTGTTTGGAAACGTAAGGATATCATATCTTCTATATAACATTTCATAAAAGTTATTATCCTCACTTTATGAAAGTCCTTGAAAGTTAAGAATCCCAGGAGACAGGCCCAGCCAAGACATCCCCTAGTACAGGGCACAGGCAGTTTCAGAAGTTTTAGGAGAGAATCTGGCTGTCAGGACATGGCGTCCACTAGGATCTCTCTGGAGATTCGGATGATACATGGCTTGGCCTTTTATCATAAGGAACACAGCTGCAAAACGGGTAAGCAGGCTTATATCTATTAAGATGGCTAAAAGGAACTCATATTTTAATTTTTAGATTTGTTTGTGTTTATTTATTTGTGGGAGAGAGATTTGCACATATAAGAAAGTATAGATGTAAAAAAATAAAAAAATAAAAAAAAAGAAAGTATAGATGTATAGGTAAGATGAGTAAGGGGAGCAACTTCTCTCCTTCCGCCTTGTGGATGCTGGGGATGAAACTGAGGTCATCAGGTTTGATGGAGAGCTCTTTAACCCACTGAGCCATCTGGTCATCTTCAAGATGAACTCTTGGGGCTCCCAGGGCCTTTTAAGTGGTGTTGAGGCATAGATTTTTTTTTTCCTTTATAGGGAATTAAATAAGTTTACTCCCTAATTTCATGAATTAAGATGTTATATTTCAAATGTACCATCTTGAAGTAGAGATACATGAAGAAAAGAGGCAAGAGGGCTCATAGTAAATGCAGATAAAGTCTTCTATCTTTTGGTGATACTGTATGAACTGGGCAGAGATCCCACCAAACACAATGTATGCGACACTGACCATCTCTAGCTGGTTTTTAGAATGCTCTGTGCTTCACGCCACACACAAGCTCAAGCCTTGATCCTGTGGTTCTCATAGTAATGCCTTTTCTGTGTTAAAATGCTTGGGTGTGGCCACAGGACAGTAGTTGACTATGGGCGAGAGAATCAGAGAGCCACCAAATTTACACGTATATTGCAGAAGGGCTGACAGTTGCCAGGGCAACTGAACGCTGGCAATAATGTAGTAAGAGACACTAAAGATGGTACCAAGTGCTTAGTTTGGACCAGAGAGAAAACTGGAGTTCCTATGGACTGATTCTGGAACAGCTCTGAGGACAACAACCTGCAGTCAATCAACTGCTTGCTTTTCAGCACCCGTATTTGTGACACCTGTTAGATATTAGTGCAGGGACTGAGGATTTAGGTACATATGCGAGTCTAAAATCCAGAAAGGATAGGGCTAGAGATGGTACTGTGTGGATGCTATGTATGGTCATTACACCCGATTAAACCACGAAAATCCTGAGACCCTCCACAACTAACACTGAACTGTCTGTCTTTCACAAAGGGGAGGAGAAGGAAAACTATCTATCCTGTTAGCGATCAGAAACCAGGACTCTGATCCTACCTGAGATGTATTTACTTAACATACTTGCTAGCATTTTGTCTCAGTTTCTCCATTGGTAAAACTGCAGCCATAGTATGTAAATCGTGACAATAAATTCATTGTTGGCTGGTGGAACAAACCTGTAACCCACGTGCTCAGACAGATGCAGGTGGCTCACAAGTTCGAGGCTATCCTCAGCTACAATGTGAGTCCGGGGCCAGCCTGAGCTACATGAGAGCCTGTTACAAATAGAACAAACAGAATGCGTGACAAGTACCTAGTACCAGCATGCATGACAAGCATGTAGGAAGTTCTTGAGGAAGAGCACTTAGGACAGCTGCAAATCTAGCTGCCATGCTACAATCACAAATGAACTCTTCCCATCACCTAAGTATTTCTGAACGAATTCTGCAAGTATCACTACTTTGCTCCAGCTTGTACTTGGAAAGAAAAGGTTCTTAGTCCTGCTTGGCATTTGACGCTTGAAATGGCCAAAACGCAGGCAACTCCCCCCCCCCAATACCTTTCTTTTCTGATGAGAAATGCAGCCGAGCAGTTTCTAATGCTTAGTCCTTATCTGAGACATAGTTTCCTTGCTCCCTGCCTCTTTTTGTATCTCTCTCTTTCTCTTTCCGCCCCTCTCTCTTCATCTCTGTCTCTGTCACTCTGTCTTTCTCTGTCTCTGTCTCTTTCTCTCTCCAGGCTCTCACTATGCAGTCCAGGCTTGACTGGAACTTTCTGTTGGTGCTCAGTCTTTCAGGCATTTCAGTCACAGGTGTGAGCCAGCAGCCCCAGATTCCTGAATGTTTTCGGTCAGTCCTGGGGCTAAAGGTTAAAACAAGTTATCCATTCTCAGTCAAGTGATGTTGTATTTTTCTTTCAATGAAAGAAAACCAATTTTGGAATTCATACCTAATACACTGGAGGTATTAACAATACTCATCTCTGTATTTTTAAAAGTTCATTTCCCTGATTCCAAATATTATATTTACATGATATTTGTGTAGACTTAAAAAAAAAGTTTTCTATATAAAACAATGATACTTCTCTGTAGAAAAGAGAATGGTTCAACCTAGTTATTTCCCTTTCTTCTTCCTTTAATAGTCAAAGGTTATTGCCTGACTATCTTCTAGCAAGTTACATATTTATATATATGGATATATATTATTTATATTTATTACATTAATCAGTAATTTTCCTGACTTAGAAATATGCTCATATATCAAAAGAGACCTAACCCACTGTTTAATCTTCACATCAAGTTAGAAACTAATAACATGAAACATTTTTCAACCCATAGACTGTATGTGAGTTTTTTAAATTCCTCAATTTCTCTGGATATACATAAGACTACACATTTTAGAACAGAGTAGTCTTGCCTTCCTTGAGAGCAACAACAATGACAAACGTTCTCCATATTCAAAAACCCTAATGATGAGTGATAATAAAAATAGCCGATAATTGTCTTAACACGTAATGACTGTATCTTGTGAGAAAAGTGTTGGCACAGGCACCCACGTTAATACAATAAAACTGAGCCTGCTCCTTCACTCTGCTGCCAGTTTGAACTGAACCACACAACTTGTGAAGCCTGCATGGCTGGTGAAGATTGAGTCTTATCCTTGAGTCCTGGACTTAAGGCCTCGTGGGCATAGAGGTGGGCCTGCCAATGCTCCTTGTCAAAACTACATAATCACTTTCAATATAAGCTTTTAAAAAAGCATTTTCTTACCATATACACATAGAAATTATTTAAAAATTGTCAACTGTTGAGTTAGTATCTATTAATAGGTCATAAAACTACTTTTATAAGTTTTTGGTACCAAGAAACCAATAATTCAAAAAGATTGGTTTTTTTTTCTTCTGATAGGATATAGATTAGTCTGCTTGTATTTTATTTTTATATAGCCAAGCTGTTATGGATGTATTGTTTCAAGATAAGTTAGACTTTTGAAAACTATCTTCAGTTTATCTCTTGGCCTTTATATTTAGAATATCATATGGGATGTCTATATTTGCTTCTGGTTTTAGTTCATAAAAATGTGCCTTGATTTCATAGTTTCATAGTTTTTCAATATGTGGTCTTGCCAATGTAATATACATATCTATACTATGTCTTTAATGTGGTTTAATTTTTGCTGAGTCCTTACTATTTCAGTACTCATTAAAATCCAGAAATTTGAAAATTATGATCAATTAAAAAATAATAACTGATAATGATTAATAAAGTAGTCAAATTTGAAATTTTGTGTTTGCAAACAATGTTATGCCAGAAATATATGAGCTTGATTCTATCTCTTATTTTGAAAGGAAAATACTTGTGTTTGTTCAGTGTCTACTATGATTATTAACAAAAGTACATATTTTGTTATCAAAGTGATAACTATATGATATGAACAGTTATTTTAAATGTGTTTTAGTATCTGTCATTTATAAGATAGTAATCATTATCTCTACTGTTTATCTTGAAATATATTTTACTTTGTTACATATAATTGAATTTTCCTGTTAGGAATAGCATTTTCTAAGAATTATAAGACCATGTCTTATAATTATGTCACTATGTGACATAATTTCATGAGGGTTTTGGTTTTCACTTTGTGTCTATTCTACATGTTCAAACCTTTAACAGTAAAGGAACCTGTGTCCATTGTGTATATAGACTTTGCCATTAGACTTCTATGGTAAGGTAACACAGATAGACCTAATCAGATTAATCACTGTTGTGAATATTAAACAGTGTTCATATAATATGACCATCACATCCCATAACTTTAAAACACTTAAAAATGATTAGGATTGAGCTAGTGCAATGAAAAGCAAAAGCGCTGAAGACAGCTTAGAATCCTGACCCTATGTTAATACATTATAGCATCACATAGTGATGGGATATATAGGTTAGTGGGAAGCTGCCCAAATGATCCTAGTTTCATTTGGTGTAGTATGTAGAATGAACTAATTCAGAAAGATTATCTCCGAGGAAAGCACAATAATGTTCAAGCACTGTAGCATGTACTGTTGGTCTTGATGAACACTTGGAAAACTCAGTAAGATGGAAATGGAGAGTAATGGACTGAATCCAGATATAGGCAACAAAGCTGGAATTGTTCTGTGGAAGTTAGATATGGAAGTTCAGGAAGAAAGAGAAATCCAAGCTATCTCCTAGGCTGCTGACTAAACCATGAGAATACAGAGGTTGTAAGGGAGCTGTAATTCACAGTAGCAGAGGGATAGGAAGGATGTGAGTTCGGTTTAAGAACTCAACATCTTTCAAATGGTTTGGAAGAGCCAATGGGATACCTAAGCGCAGACTTCATACACACGGCTGAGTGTATGGACCTAGAGAGATGTGTCACCTGGAGAGAAGGATTTGGCACCTGTACAGACACAGATGACACCTACAGCTTCCTATTGCACTTAGGTAGGATGCTGAGAGCAGGCAGCAGGATATGGATTAGATTCTGTTCACAAAGGACAAGGAAAGATTTCGAACGGCACAGAAACGCTGTTGCTCCTGAGGCAGACACCATCCGGCAATTGGAAGGAAACAAAAGAGGAAAGAACTTAATGTAAAGGGGAGGGGTCATCTTTGGTGCACTCAGCTGAAATGCAAGTCAGACAATAACCATATTATAGCTGTAGATTATCCTTGTCTTCTCAGTGCAACAACACAGAGGTTTTCATCTTTAGACAGAATAACTGGAGGGCTGAAGATGAGATAGGGTTGTAAGGACAAGAAAGATAAATATCTCTTTCAAGAACGTTGGATGTGAAGTGTAGAAAAGATGTGAAACTGGAAGCTGTGATGAGGGTTGTGGGTAAGAAGGCCTTCCCTCTCTCAAGATGGGAGAGACACAACCAAGTTTGTGTTGGTGGGAAGAGGCTAAGGGACACAAAAGGTGGGAGAATGGAGAGCTAAGATACTCCTAAAACATCTGGAAAAGGTAGCTGTCCAGAATACAGGTGGAGAGATGGAAATCTCCCCACTGTAACAGGGGAAGGAGGGCAAGTCCCGACTGAGAGAGCTTTGCCAAGTTCGAGTGGCGAGCAGAATCTGATGTTATCATTATCTCTCTGTGAAATAAGAAATGAGGTCATCAACTTGCAATGGAAAGGGAGGGGAGGAGAGGATTGGAAATTTAAGGACATAGAGAATGTTTGGAATTATCTTTGTGGGGGGTAGGAAATGGATCCAAGTCAGAACACACAGGACTGTGTTTGGGACCACTGTGGTTAGGGATCATGCATTTCAAATGTTGCCCATCTGCCAAAAAATTATGCATCCTCGCAGGGCCCAGCACAGAGGGACTTCTACTTCCTTATACTGATTGTAAATTTCCATGTGTATATATTAAATAATATATATAGGTATGTATGTATATATACACACATATATATGCATACACATATATATTTTGGTGTTTTCAGCAATGAAGGAAAATGTGTTTCCTCTTGAAAATCCTGTTTTCTATTTCTAGACTGTTCTGCCTTCACGTAGTTGATCCTCATCACTCATTTAGAATTACTCTCATGTAGATATATTTGAACAAACTGAGAATTAAGCATGAGCAAGAATATTATTAAAACCCAAGATCTCAGTTATTGCTTTGACTAATGCCTGTTATAAGTAAAAGCTGTCTTTCTAGATTAATAGAACACTACAGACTCCCTGGCCTTGAACAAGGCCTTTTTCTTTCATAAAAGAGATTAAATGGTTTATGATAAAAAGAAGCAAGAAAGAATATGAACACCATTTTCTCATCTATAAGATTATTACGATCATGTGTGCGTTCATAAGAAATGGTGTTTTATGTAACCTAAATGTGATTTATGTTAAATGTGGAACACCAATCATTTCAAATATTTGATTATTGACACTTTTCATAAGAAACTTTTTTCTGATTGTTTTCATTTAGCCAAAGGAATGTAAGATGATTATTGGCTATACATTCAGTGGTAATGTGGGAAGCAAATCAGATAATTATTATAATCAGTGTTTTTTCTGTTTTGGGGGTAAATAAAAAGAATTGATTGCTGAGTATGAGCTCTCTGTCAGGTATAATGAGTTATAGGATATTTAACATGCTTTGCTAGTTTGGTTTTCACAGAAATTCTGTGATATTATTTTTTTTCTTCCTGTTAAAACCAAGTTGATCAATACTGAAACAAATTAAGTAACCGATTTGACTTAGTTGCGAACCCAAGAGATAACAGCATTATCAGCAGCCATATTTTCTTATATTTCAGGATCTTTTGTTGGAGCTTCGCCTTTCATTTATTTAGAAAGGGACGTTGTGTAAAACATTCTCCCAGGGGGGGGGGGACCCTTAGAATAAACTCATAATGTAGTTCACTCATTCTTGTAATTCTTTTGCCAAAGTTTACGACCCTAGTTTATTTATAAAGTGAACTTGCGATTCTGTTGTTTGGTTGATTCTATCCTGAAGAAAATTTACATTGATAAATTATTCACCAGTTACCTCATGTCTTTGCATTTTCTATACTTAATTATGTTTCTTACTAGTCTAAAGAGAGCTGATGGTTTCTGGAATGTACGTTTTGCATGTGGAGTTGAAGCACAGACACGAAAGAAAGCTGATGATAAAATAATATGTGGTATTTAATGAACATGCTAGTTTTAGAGTTAGGGGGGTGACGACAGGGGCTTGCATGAAGGTGGTATTCTGCTGACGTTGTTTTCCTTGACAATATATTTCTACTTTATTCAATGTGCTCATCATGTGCACGATTCTTACCAACTGTGTATTTATGACCATGAGTAATCCTCCAGACTGGACAAAGAATGTGGAGTAAGTATGAAATGCATGTTTCCAATTACGCACTTAGTACTTCAAGACATTTCCGGTTTCCTTACTACATTTTTTTCTAGCCATTTGAATCATGAGTTTCATTCACATTCATGCCCACCCCCGACTTCCTCTAGGAGAGTGGGTCTCAACCTTTCTAATACTGTGACTCTTTAATGCAGTTTCTGCATGTTGTGGCGACTCCCCAGCCATAAAATTATTTTTATTACCACTTTATAACTGCAAGTTTGCTACCGTTATGAATCATAATTTAAATATCTGGTGTGCAGGGTATCTGATATTCAACCCTTTGTGAAAGGGTCGTTTGGCCCTCCCTAAGGGGTTGTGACCTACCAGTTGAGAACTTCTGCTCTATTCAAAGATTTCAGTGTCTCAAAGAGCTGCGTTGATTTGCCTGTTGATATTTGTGGACCCTAATCTGCTTTTTGAATTTTGTACACTGGAGAGTACTGATAGCTGCTACCTTACTCATTTATGGATTAGCATCTATCTGTTTAAATCATACTGAAAGTCAGCCGGAGTAGTTCAGATGCTATCATCATACAGAGTAGTGTTTTTTACATCCTTAACGTTGAATAATATAGCAAGCAAAAATATCTATTGATTTACAGTGGTTGAGAATATCATTTGGAACGTAGTGGTACTTTTTGCCTTAAGCCCTGCCTAAGCATGCTATTAGAAACCAAGGTGGAGCCTGCATTCATGTGTCAGCCAAGTCAGGTTTAGGATATGTACCAGCATGGCTTGGGAGTACTTTCTTACTATGTGTGAGGCCTTGGTTTCAGGTCTGGCACCAAAACATCCTTTATAAATTAAATATATCTATGGAAACGACCTATAAAGTCTTTAATGTGAACTCGGCTATTTTTCTCAGGTATACTTTCACAGGAATTTATACTTTTGAATCACTTATTAAAATACTCGCAAGGGGCTTTTGTCTAGAAGATTTCACATTTCTACGGGACCCCTGGAACTGGTTGGACTTCACAGTTATTACTTTTGCGTGAGTATTTTTGTAATGTTTTCTCTCTTTGTAGAATGAATGCAATTGGAGCCTCTACTGTAGTTCTCGGTTGTTGGCTTCCTTTGACTTAAAAACATCCTTATTAGTTATCATATGAATGTGGAATACTTTGTCCAGTCTAATTAATCAGTTTAGAGAAAGTAGGAATGATCCTAATAAATTATATGGCTTAGTTTCAATTAGCTGTAAAGTAGCAATAACAATTCCCAAGTAACAGCTCATTACCAATGGCAATGCCATTCTCTTCTTAATTGGGAAATCTGACACCAACACTCACTGAAGTTGAAACGGTCTTGCTTGAAGACCAACATAGACTTAGATCTCCCCAAATTCTGAATAACTCTGATTTAATCCTACAGGTATGTAACAGAATTTGTAAACCTAGGCAATGTTTCAGCCCTTCGAACTTTCAGAGTCTTGTGAGCTCTGAAAACTATTTCTGTAATCCCAGGTAAGAAGAAACTGGTATAAGGTGGTAGGCCCTTATATCTCCAACTGTTTCCTGTGTTCTGTCATTGTGTTTGTGTGTGAACTCCCCATTACAGATATGTGACAGAGTTTGTGGACCTGGGCAATGTCTCAGCGTTGAGAACGTTCAGAGTTCTCCGGGCATTGAAAACCATTTCAGTCATTCCAGGTGAGAGCTAGGTTAAACACCGAGGCTGACTTTAGCTGCATTGGTGCCCTGCTTACAGCTTTTTGGCAAAGGCCTGGCTGCTTGTTGCCGTACCACAAGACATTGGTCAAAAGCAGAAACTGACCCATCCTCATTTGGATCGGTTTGATTACTTGCTTTTGAACGGTTGCTTTCTCTGAATTTGTTCTAAATCAGCCTTCGAGTTTAACGAGTTTAACGAGTTTTGCATGAGGCACTTACAGTAACAGGCTACCTGATTTGCATCTTACAGCATCAAGCTTTCCGCATAGAAGCTGAAATGTGAGCCACGTGGGCCAAGGCAAAATTGAACAATTAGCTCTAAAACTGGCTGTCTCCTTAACTGGAGTTAAGTAGAGAAGCAAGACGGAGCATGAGCGCTGCATGGGGCTCAGCTTGCAGATGTCTTCCTTATTTTGGCCCATTCTCAAGCTTTCAAAGTTCAGAGAAATCTGCACCCTCGTCATTCAGTGGCTTCAGGATTTTTCACTACTCCGCTATTTATATAGATCTGTCTAAAATCCAATACGGGGTTAGAGAGTAAGACATCTGCAAAGAAAAGTGAACTCTTGACACAAGGTTGATGGTCCAGCATGAGTAACCCAATCGTATCTTTTGCTGTAAGGAGCGTGTGAAAACATTTGATTCATTGCCATTTGATTTTCTAAAGACCATGTAAGTTCGGCTTTCATCCATTTCCACCAGCTAGCAGGCTTTTTGTGACGTTTTTATTGGGCCACAAACATTAAACTAATATTGTTGGCATTCTGCATGACATTCATACTTCTGGGACAAGCTCATGATATTTTTGGGTTGGTGAATTCTCTGTTGAATTGGAAGTGATAAGCCCCTCCCTCTGGTTTTCTTTGCAGGCCTGAAGACCATCGTGGGGGCCCTGATCCAGTCGGTGAAGAAGCTGTCTGACGTCATGATCCTCACGGTGTTCTGTCTCAGTGTCTTTGCGCTAATCGGGCTGCAGCTCTTCATGGGCAACCTGAGGAATAAATGCTTGCAGTGGCCCCCCGAAAATTCTACCTTTGAAATGAATATCACTTCCTTCTTTAATAATTCATTGGACTGGAATGGTACTGCCTTCAATAGAACAGGGAACATGTTTAACTGGGATGAATACATTGAAGATAAAAGTAAGATATACTCTTGTAGCCGTTACATTGTTTGGTTCTTAAAATATTAAGAATTGTACGTGGTAGAAAGTATCTAAAATTGGGGATGAATCAAATGTCGTAGACTAATTTGCAGTAACTTCATACATGTCTTAAGCATACCAAATTCTGTCGTTGCTTTATCCTAATCCAACAAGTGGCATAATGACAGTGGCCTTTTCAAAGTGTGTAGCCTGTTCCTAGACCAGATGTGAAAGTTATCCGACATCATGATGTGGATCATCAAAAGCGTTTGTTATATAGACATTGGGCGGGAGTTTTCAAACATCTTTTTTTTAATTTTTTTTATTGAGCTATATGTTCTTCTCTGCTCCCCTACCTTCCACTCCCCCTTCCCCTTCTGTCCTCTCCCATGATCCCCACACTCCCAACTTTCTCAGGAGATCTTGTCTTTTTCTACTTCCCATGTACATTAGATCTATGTATGTCTCTCTTAGGGTCCTCTTTGTTGTCTAAGTTCTCTGGGATTGTGAATTGTAGGCTGGTTTTTCTTTGCTTTATATCTAAATGGCCACTTATGAGGAGTATATATGATATTTGTCTTTCTGGGTCTGGGTTACCTCACTCAATATGATGTTTTCTAGATCCATTCATTTGCCCACAAATTTCAAGATGTCATTTTTTTCTGCTGTGTAGTACTCTATTGTGTAAATGTATCACATCTTTTTTTTTTCCATTCTTTGGTCGAGGGGTATTTAGGTTGTTTCAAGGTTATGGCTATGACAAATAATGCTTGTATGAACATAGTTGAGCACATTTCCTTGCAGTATGATTGTGCATCCTTTGGGTATATACCCAAAAGTGGTATTGCTGGGTCTTGAAGTAGATTGTTTCCTAATTTTATGAGAAATCGCCATACTTATTTCCAAAGTGGCCATACCAATTTTCACTCCCACCAGTAACAGAGGAGTGCTGCCTTAACCCCACATCCACTCTAGAATAAATTGTCATCAGTGTTTTTGCTCTTGGCAATTCTGACAGGTGTAAAATGGAATCTCAAAGTTGTTTTGGTTTGCATTTCTCTGATGACTAAGGATATTGAGCATTTCCTTAAGCGTCTTTCAGACTGTTGAGAGTTCCCTGTTTAGGTCTGTACCTCATTTTTTAAATTGACTTATTTGTTCTTTTGATGACTTATTTCTTGAGTTCTTTGTATATTTTAGGAATCAGCTTTCTGTCCAATGTGGGTTTGATGAATATCTTTTCCCATGCTGTAGGCTTCTCTTTTGTCTTGTTGACAGTGTCTTTTGCTTTACAGAAGCTTCTCAGATGCAAGAGGTCCCATTTATTAATTGTTGCTGTCAGTATCTGTGCTACTGGGGTTATATTTAGGAAGTGGTCTCCTGTGCCAGTGCATTCAAGTGTACCTCCCACTTTCTCTTCTATGAGTTTCAGTGTGATTGGTTTTATGTTGAGGTCTTTGATCCATTTGGACTTGAGTTTTGTGCATGATGATAGATATGGATCTATTTTCATTCTTCTACATGTTAATATCCAGTTATGTCAGCATCATTTGCTGAACATTCTGTCTTTTTCCATTTTATATTTTTTGCTTCTTTGTAAAAAATCAGGTGTTCGTAGATGTGTGGATTAATATCCGAGACTTTGATTCTGTTCCATTGGTCCTCCTGTCTGTTTTTATACCATTACCAGACTGTTTTCAATACTGTAGCTCTGTAGTAGAGTTTGAAGTCAGGGATTGTGATACCTCCAGAAGATCTCTTATTGTATAGAATTGTTTTGGCTCTCCTGGGTTTTTTGTTTTTCCATATGGAGTACTGTTCTTTTGAGGTCTGTGAAGAATTTTGCTGGGATTTTGATGAACATTGCATTGAATCTGTAGATTTTAATAAAATGGCCATTTTTACTATGTGAATTCTACCTAACCAAGAGCATGGGAGATCTTTCCACTTTCTGGTGTCTTCCTCAATTTCTTTCTTCAATGATTTAAAGTTCTTGTCATACAAGTCTTCCACTTGTTCGGTCAGAGTTACTCTGAGATATTTTATGCTATTTGTGGCTATTGTGAAAGGTGATGTTTCTCTGATTTATCACTTTCTCAGCACATTTATCATCTATATAAAGGAGAGCTACTGATATTTTTTTAGTTAATCTTGCATCCTGCTACATTACTGAAAGTGTCTATGAGTGGTAGAAGTTCCTTGGTAGAATTTTGGGGGTCTTCAAATACTTAATTACAAACATCTTAATGTGACATTAGTTCGACTCATTCAGTGCCTTATACTGCAGCATCTCATGAGGATGACCAGGACAGAGGCTGAAAAACAAGCTTAGAAAAATAATAAAGTGCTTGCCTACTATGCAGTTTAATCCCTAGAACAGCATGAGCTGGACATAGTGGCATACATCTGCAATACCAGCATTAAAAGGGTAGATGAAAGGTCAGAAGTTCAGGGTTATCCTTAGGCACATAATGAAGCCAACGCTAGCCTGGGATACATGTAATGAATGGACTTATATCTTTTTGGTTGATTCAGTCCATATACTCTATCTGGATAGAGAAAACATTTGCCAAGGTGAAATCCAAAATTGTATACTGATCAGAAAGGTAAGCAGCCATGATTTAGTCACTCAGTTACTGATAATTTAATATTTATTCCTTTGCATGAGTCTTGATATTAAAGTTGTGTATCATTATCATTTGATTTTGTTTGAGGCAAGGATGTTAGAATAGGTTAATGTTACATTGTAAGTTATGGTTTTCTCTTATTGAAGCTGATGTCTCTGTCACTTGATAACCTAAACTACTTCCCCATGAACTGCTAGATTAGCCAAATTACAATCACTCTTGGTCACCTGTATTCCAGGGAGTTTTTTACTCTGTGATATCCTTCATGGTCATCATGGTTTTTTATAAGAATATGAGATTTTATCATAACTCACTTGATACCACATTTATAGAGTTTACATTCTTATGAAGGTTTTACTTGAAAAGATTCATTGGGAAAAAATGAGAGATTTTAACAGCCCGAGTATGAGGTTTTCTACTTACTAATAATATAATAGATGATGAAGAACTTTGCCCATAAATCTTTTCTCTGCTTCTGTACTGCTACAGATGGATTTCTATTTATAGTGCTTCAGTGGGAGGGGTTGATTGTAGCTAAGAATGCGGAGACACAGTGTCCAATTGCTCTCCTCAGAGGCCACACCACTTCATAGATTATCCCGCTGGCAGGCTCAACCCCCTGAACTGCGATGAATATAGATTCTTACCATATTTAAAAACCTTTCGGGAGAGGAAAACAAAAATCAGTACTTGACTGTTCTTTTTCTTCATTCCTTAATTAATAATGTGAAGAATTTAAAAGTGTGTTTTCTAGTGTCGGTGGCACGTGATGTATTTCCTTCCATGTGGGATGCCTGCTGATGTTTGTACACATTATTTTACCAGGTGGTAGCATTTTGAAGGAAGCCATAAGGATTCTTCATTAGCGATTGTCTTTTATCACAGCAAGCCTACTTTCCAGCGTATTTTCTAATCTTACTGCTTGTTTGGGGGTCTTTGTTTTTAGGCAACCCAATCACCATATCATTTGCACATTTTTTTCCTATTTTCATGTTCATAAAATGCTTCTTATTAAAAGATAAAAATGAGCATTTAAATATTTTACCCGTACAACAGCCAAATACATTTTTGGTAGTGTGTTAGCCTTGCCATTAAGTGCATAACAATTTGGACTTTTTATGGTTTTATGTAAAGATCTAAAAATATTTTGTAAAATTATGACCTAGTTTTTCCTACACAATCTATTCATGTATTCCTTGAATACAAGACTTGAAGTATTCTTAAGTATCAACACAGTAAATTTTAAGGTATGTGTGAGTGTGTGTGTGTGATTGTGCATGTGTGTAGTTCCTGAAAACATTTTTGCAACTTCTTAAATTATATATGTTGTACCTTAAAAATAAATTGCATATATTTAGACAGCTTACATTTTCCAAGCTAAGAGTTTATTTTGCTCATTTCAAAGAGAGAAATCAAGAAAAAAAAAAAAGCTGAACCAGGCATGATAAGGAGGGAACTAAGCCCACTTCTCACAAGAAACTAAATGACAATTGGCAGGGGAATGTCTGCATCTATATCGAGTCTGGGCAAAAAGTGCTCAGAGTAAAAATCCTTTTGCATCCACCACTAAGAAGAAAGAGTCATTCCTGTGCTCTCATCCTGTGCCAAGCAAGCCGCCTCAATGCTAAAGCTTTCTCTTGAAGTGTCCCTAAACAGTTTGAGTTTGTTTTTGGTAATAAATAATGAACAGAAAGTGCTATTATTATTATTATTATTACTTCTGGAAAAAAGTTCTTTCTAAAGTAATTTTTCCAGGCAGTATTTAATCATATAGTTGTTTGATATTCAGTTCCTATGAAAAAGAAATTTAACCCATGGCTGTCAATTATTTTATCTATTTTTTATTACAACTAAACATATTTATAAACTTCCTTGCCTGAACATAATGATTAAATATTTAAAGGCCTTTTAATGAGTCTTTCCTTTGCTCTTTAAATAGGTCACTTTTATTTTCTGGAAGGGCAGAACGATGCTCTGCTTTGTGGGAACAGCTCCGACGCAGGGTAAGTTACTCTTCTTATTGATGCTCAGTTGACCTCAATAATCTGCCACCTCCCACACACCTGACCCCTACTCACTCCTCATTCAAAGCCCTACATCAATTCTACTTCATAGCCAGGGTAAGTGTGGATTCTCACCTCCTTTACACACTCAGAAGTAGCAATTACTTTTCCATACCAGGTCACAACTAATCTTCCAAATTAGCACAATGGAAAATAGATACTCAGAGCAAAAGCATTAGAATTCATAATCACATGCCAGTGTGTAATCATTTATTTAAGCTAATCTGATCTCCATGGCTTAAAACATGAAATTCTTGAAGATCACATCACTGTCTGAGACACACGGTGACTGTATGCCTACTATATTTCAGCAAAGCAAAGTGCATACAATAGACTTGAGTGTCAACATGGGTTCAAACTCTGACTCTAGCCAATTTTGCCATTTCTGCTTGCCTTGTGTTTTTCCCAAGTATAAATGGGTATTGTAATAATTCTATAGATTAAATGTATTAGTGAATTATAGCTGCAATACAGAGTTTTTAGTTATGCTTAACATCTTGGAAATATTTGTAATTAAAAAACATTATACATGGGGAAAAAGCCTGGAAAAGTTCAGAGAAATAGGTAGCTTTCCCTTCTTGGACTGATATTACAAAACCCCGGCAAAAATCCCATGTGTTTTCTTTGATACTCTTGTAGACATTTGCAAGTGATACATTTACCAAAGTTCTCAATGACAACATGGTTTACATTTAGTTCCTATGATCAAAACTGTGCAGACTTTATCCACAGTTAGATCTGTGATAGGTAAGACAAACATTTTAACTCCCCAACTGCATGGTACCAAAGGCTTGCCACATAGTATCTTATTGAATATTTAATTTTTTGAGGCAGGTTCTTTTATCAGTCCGTGGTGACCTATGAGGTCTCTCTGAAGACAAACAATGTAGGGAAATTAGTCCAAGTATGCTCAGCCCAAAAATGGCAGTCCCAATACTAAAGGCAGCTTTGGTTAATCAGTAAGGGATGAAAGAGATCTCCACTGCACAGTGTCATTCTTTTCCTTCAGGATGCCAATACAATGATGTCTTCTCTTCTCTGCTCTAGTGCACACACACAGACACACTTAGACACACAAACACACACATACCACTTATATCTCAAAACATCTTCATTGAAAATCATTGATCCTGTCTATCATCCCAAAATAATTTGTTAAACATAGGATTATCTTATATAAATGTGTGGTGAATATACTAGAGAAATCCACAAAATAGACTTGGTAAATTATGTTACTACATAGGAAAGCCCACCAAGTGCAGAGTAAGTGCTATGTAAGACCAAAGATACAGTCTTTCGCTGGAGCTTGTACAAATAATTCACATCAGGTAAAATGAAAAAATACACCAAATAGTTCACAGATGCTGAGTTCCTCTTTCCTATCTAATATAATTACAGCCAGTGTCCTGAAGGGTACATCTGTGTGAAGGCTGGGAGAAACCCCAACTACGGCTACACGAGCTTTGACACATTTAGCTGGGCCTTCTTGTCATTATTTCGTCTCATGACTCAAGACTTCTGGGAAAACCTTTATCAACTGGTGAGAGCGGATGCAATGACTCTTCTGGGAAGCAAGGGATGCAGTGGCCAAGGAAACTGCTGAGGAATCATTTATTGCTTAGAGGGGGAGCTTGGAACTGCCAACGTGAAATTTACGAACACGTTCCTTCCATTTTTACAGACCCTGCGAGCTGCTGGGAAAACATACATGATATTTTTTGTGCTGGTCATTTTCCTGGGCTCATTCTACCTGATAAACTTGATCCTGGCTGTGGTGGCCATGGCCTACGAGGAGCAGAATCAGGCCACCTTGGAGGAGGCTGAGCAGAAAGAGGCGGAGTTTCAGCAGATGTTGGAGCAGCTGAAGAAGCAGCAGGAGGAGGCGCAGGTAGAGCTGGCGAGCATAAAGACCGTTGTGTTTATTCTCTGATCTGCAGGTTTCTGTTGACATTGGAAAAACAAGGGTGTGCGTGATGTCAGGGACCTGTTTGGTTGTACGCAGAATATTGCTTGATTTGGTGGTTATGGCATCAAAATCCAGACAGTTACGATTGCTTTGTTGACCCTTTCCTCCTTGTGATGTCTTGAGGACACTGACTATCAGTACCCTCACTCACTGACTCTTATAAAGTAGCAGAGCAATGTGCTGGCAATGGGAGTGTTTCCTTGCTACGCCAGCAAACAGGAACTCAGAGTGACTTCTTCAACACAGCACCACTAGAGGTGAGGGACGTCAGGAAATTCAAGTCATGCTGCAATGATTTCACCAGTTCTAGAAACACAAATCCCCATTCAATATGAAATCATGGAAACAGTATCATTCTCAGTTTCTTGTTCTGAAAACTCAACATAGAGTATGCATGGCAAGGCGAGTCTTTTTCTAAACATGCTTGCTTGACTTAATGGCATTCACTAATCCAACTGCCTGATTTTGTCTTTTATTGTCCATTGGATTTAGGTCCCTTATGTCACTATCATTCAGGTCACATAATAAAGGCCAAAAATAGTGGACTGAGATAGTAGCAACTATACTATTTTTTAAGCCACTTGGTTATCATTTACAAATCCATCCCGACAACATGGGATTCTCTATTATATAATCTGTGACGTGCTTGCACATTTCCTAACTAAATAATTAAAGTAAAAGGTTAAAGGTTTAACCAATAAATATTTGATTGAGTTTAATTCCACAACTCAGTTTGGAAGTCATTCTTGAGTGTGATGGAGAGCAAATACCTTTGATGGGTAAATGGGAAAATTTAATTCTTACATTCCTCTTTAAACCTTGTTTAGATCTCATGGGAAATATGTTTATAATTGTTGTGTTCAGGTTGGTAGATAATATGCCATATAAGATCAGAATTAAAAGATTTTTATTTGTTCATATGTGTCTACTTCCTTATTGATTTTTATCCTCTGGTTTATGAAAATGTTGTTTTCCAAAGTATGGAACAGAATTACAGAACTGGATTTCAGAATCACATTTGTGGTGTTCTAGACAAATGAAGCAGTAAATGCGTAACGTTGGAGGCTGTACATAACCTACGCTCACTTTGTGCCCTTCTAGGCTGCGGCCGCAGCCGCATCTGCAGAATCCAGGGACTTCAGCGGAGCAGGTGGGATAGGTGTGTTCTCGGAGAGTTCTTCAGTAGCCTCAAAGTTGAGTTCCAAGAGTGAAAAGGAGCTGAAAAACAGAAGAAAGAAAAAGAAACAGAAGGAGCAGGCTGGGGAAGAAGAGAAGGAAGATGCGGTGCGGAAATCTGCATCTGAGGACAGCATACGGAAGAAAGGCTTCCGGTTTTCACTAGAAGGAAGCAGGCTGACCTATGAGAAGAGGTTTTCCTCTCCACACCAGGTACATCTAGAAGGAGACTAATTGTTCCTTTCTGGGCTGCCCAGACCCAAATAGTGACACAGAAACCCTATTAATTACAACACTGTTTGACCTACTAGCTCAGGCTTCTTTTTTT